CTATAGACAAAACTCTAAACATTCGAAAAACTAAATAGAGTATCCAGCAAGACCACTAATCTCTTATTAAACATTGTATGTCCAACACGTATTTCACTTTCCAAAATCAATTCTACAGACAAATAAATAGTGCCCTAATGGGCTCCCACTATCTCAAGTAATTGCCAATATCTTTATGGAACACTTCGATACCTCAGCGCTCTGCACTTTACTGCTCAAATCCACATGTTGGCTACGATATGTTGATGATACATTCGTCATTTGGCCTCATGGTAGGGATGAGTTGGTCTCTTCTTAAACCCATCTGAATGGTATACATCCTAGTGTCCAGTTCACGATGGAGATGGAAATTGATTTATCCCTACCCTTTCTCGACGTTATATTAAAGAAAAACAGATCCCAACATTTTCATGACTCTGTTTATCAAAAAGCCACTAATATCAATCGTTACTTGCATGCCAACTCTTATCATCCTCCTTCACAAATTAATTGTCATTAATACCCTTGTCTCCAGATCAATACACTTTTGCGATGATGCAAATAGACCCACTGAGCTCTCTAGTTTGAAATAAGCCCTCATCCTAAACGGTTACCGCGAAAATCACATCAATAGAAGTATCCACAGACATCAATTTCCCACTCAATTTCAACCCAAAGACTCAGACCCTCATCATACGAAATTTTTAAAAGGTTAAATTTGTCGATTATTAGAAAATTTAAATGTCACACCGGATTAAAATATAGATGAATTCAGACTTAAAGCATTCCGATTCGTTGAAGGCTATAAGTGAAGTCAAAAACTTTATTTTCTTTTGGATAAGTATTGAATATTTACCAAATCCGCAGGGGTATATGCAGTTAGCTCCCACGTTAATTTATTGCCATTACGTGGAGACACAATTTTTAAGTTTACTACAATAAATGAATATTTAGGGTGATTCTAGTTGAACTCATGTCATTCATAGTTGTTATATGCTGGTCACTTATTGCTTCGACTAAAATTTATCCAAGCATCCGATAGAAGCTGCACATAGTTCAACTTGTTGGCGAACAAATATTGCAACACCATCATAACCATCGCCATGTATTTTATGCATAGTTCTACATATAAATCCGATAAAACAATAATATCGCAAAATATTACTTATCTTTTTTTTTAAGTAGCATCATCATCTTCAATCAGCCCTGAGTTGTCCATTGTTGAACATAGGCCTTCACTAGATTTTTCCATCTGCTTCTGTTCTGCGCCTCTGCTATTAAATTGGTCACGATTCTTTTTAGGTCGTCGGTCCATCGCGTTGGGGGTCTTCCTCGGCTTCGCTTGTCAGCCCGTGATCTCCACTCAAGCAATTTTTTTGTCCAACTGTCGTCTTACATTCTTGCAACATGCCCTGTCCATCTCCATTTTTTCCTTGTAATATGTTCGATAATGCCTTCCACTCCGGTTTGTCTACGAACTTTCTCGTTTCTTATTCTATTTCTTAAGCTTATTCCAAGCATTGATCTCTCCATCTTTCGTTGATCCTCGATTTTTCGGCTGATGGTTCTGTTTTTTGTTTTTTTGTTTTTTCTTCAGCTGATGTTTTTCGGCTTTTTTTGGTTTTTTTTTAAATAACATAGTTGGATTTAATTTATCTGCAATATTATTTAAAATATTTGTATTATTTTTAGAATAACTTATTAGATTCATTGTTGCAATTTTTACGGTTTCTTGCTAAATAACTATCTAAACTTTTAAATATGTTATTAATGAATTAAATCCAAAACTAATTTTCGAAACCAAATTCAGATTTTTATTGATGTTGATAAAGATGTTAATAGAGACATGGGGAATCTAAATTTTGCATTGCACAACATATCTCCTCAAGTAAGCAAAAATCCTTAGCTCAACTATGTAAAGCCATCCTCATGACATATTCACTATAAATGTTAAATAAGTCAGGTGATAGCACGCATCCTTGTCTAACACCTGTCTCGGTCTTGAATTGGTTTGAGAACTTCTGATCTAGTCGTACTGTTGCTATATTGGACTGGTACAGATTTTTAATAAGTATCACCAGGTGCGTTGGTCTACCCTAATTCTAATAAAATGGACCACATATTTATCCAGCTTACACAATCAAGTGCCTTTTGGTAGTCAAAACGAAGCATATAATGATAGGTACTTGAAAGTTTTCTATACTTTTCAATGAGTTGTCTCAGGTTCGGGATTTATTCCCGTGTACCTTTATCATTTTCAGACCCCACCTGTTCCTGAGGTATTTGGTAATGTAGATAGGTTGTTAATCTCTTTTTGATAATTTGCAATAAGATTTTACTAGCATGTGTTATTAGTGATAGTGTGCGATAGTTTTCACATCTAGTGGTAGTTCCTTTTTTGTGTAGCGGGATATAAATTGAGGTACTCCAATCAGATGGCCATTTTTCTGAATTCCAAACAGCGACACAGATAGAATGGTATTAAATCAATGCCTGGGGATTTATTTCTCTTAAGCGATTTAATTGCGTTTTTGGCTTCAGTAAGTAAGATTCAGTTCTCTAAGATAGTCGGAGGGCCACGAACTGGATACTCTATTGCTAATTGAGTTTGTATTAAAATAGTAAACAGATCACTAAACACAGAAAACGCAGTATAATACAGTAAAAAGGACAATAATATTAGCAAGGTATTTATTCACATTAAGGCAATTGTATTATATACAAAATCAGACAGAAATATCAAAGCCCACTTATTAAGCTCTTGATTTTCTTTTTTTTTTAAGGAAAAGACAGTTAAGATTTGATTTCACATATAGTGCGTCTGTATATCCGTTTATACGAATTTCGCCCTAATAGGGCTCTTGAGAACGGCAATTCACAGTCGCTGTGAACGTGAAAATAAATCTCTTCTGTCTTAGAAAGCAACTCTAACATGGCTTCGAATTTACGCAAATAGCGACATCTGATATTAAAGCCGTAAACTATTTTTCGAAACCGAATTCAGATTTGTGTTTTATTCTGTGCCTTCTAAGAATTGCAATGCAAAACAGACGTTAATAAAGATGTTATTAGAGATATGGGGAATCTAAAATTTGTATTCCTCAACGTATCTCCTTAACTAAGCAAAAATAAGAGATTTATTTTTACGTTTAGAGCGACTGTGAATTGCCGTTCTAAAGAGTCCTATTAGGGCGAAATACGTATAAGCGGATACACAGACGCACTATACCTGAAGTCAAATCTTAACTGTCTTTTCTTTTTATTCGGATATACTCTGTACGAGTACTAGAAACCAATTCGCTAAGGATTTTTGCTTAGTTGAGAAGATATGTTCTTCTTCTTCTTCTTTTGTCTCGTCATAACCCTGGATGGGTCTTTGCCTGTCTGGCTATGTCCTTCCATTCAAATCTCTCTTGTGCCCTTCTTCTCCATTGTCTTATGTTCATTGTTTTCAGGTCGTCTTCCACGTCATCCAACCATCTCGTTCTGGGCCTTCCTTTTTTTTCGCCTTCCTATGGGCTTCCATTGTAACATTTTCTTTGTTGTTTTTGCATCGTTTTGTCTCTGCACATGTCCCAGCCATGACAGTCTTTGACTTTTCACAAATTTTACAACGTCATAAACTTCATTTAACTCATTAACCTCGTCGTTTCTCCCGATTCTCCATGTGCCATCTTCCTCTTGTACCGGGCCATATACTTTCCTCAGTATTTTTCTCTCGAATGTCCTGAGTTGGGTTTCATCTTTTTTCGTCATTATCCAAGTTTCACATCCATAGGTTACTACGGGTCTAATCAGTGTTCTGTAGATAGTCATTTTGGTTCTTTTGTCTAATAATTTCGATGTTATCAATCTTTTATTAGCATAGTATGTACGATTCCCGCTGGAAATACTTGCATTAATTTCTCTACTTACGGAGCTCCTCTGATTGATTTCTGTGCCGAGATATGTAAAGGCATCCACTCGTTCGGTAGTATAATTGTCTATTGTGATATTATTTTCATTGTCAGTTATTCTTTTGACTGTCATATACTTCGTTTTTGCTTCGTTTATTTTGAGACCTCTTTTTCTTGCTTCAGGATCAATTTGTTTGAACACTTCCATTAGTCGTGGCTTATTCCTATTGCATATAAGTAATTTGTACTGATTTGGTGTTTATATGGCCGGTTATATTGGTTTTTCTGATGACTGTCTCAAGAACTAGGTTGAATAGCATGGTTGATAGGGCATCTCCCTGTTTTACTCCCATGTTGATGTTAAACAGGGAAGCCAGTTCTCCATCTACTCTGACTGCGGCTTTTAAACCCTGCAACGTCATTTTTATGAGGCTGATGTATTTCTTGGGTATACCTAGATTACAAAGGTCTTCCTGCATTCTGTCTCTTTTTACACTATCAAAAGCTTGTTTAAAGTCTATATACATATTATATAGGTCTATGTTGTATTCATAAGCTTTTTCTTGTATCGTTATAAGTATAATGGCTCTATTTAGTCTGAATCCATTTTGATAATCACCAATTATATTTTTGGAGAATTCTAATAATCTATTGTAGATTATACCAGAAAGAATTTTGTATATTACATTTAGCAATGTAATTGGCCTATAATTCTGGCATTCCCTCTTGTCTCCTTTTTTATATATTGGCTGTATGAGGCCAACTGTCCATTCATCTGGCATTTGCTCCTTCGTCCATATTAATGTTATTAGGTAATGGATTCTTTCCCCTGAAAAAATAAATATTTTCTGTCTTAGGAAGGAACTCTAACATACCTTCGAATGGACGCAAATAGATGACGCATCTGATATTAAATCCGTAAACTATTTTTCGAAGCCAAATTCAAATTTTTGCTTTAATCTGTGCCTTCTAAAAATTGCAAGGCAAACCAAACGTTGAGCTAAGGATTTTTGCTTAGTTGAGGAGATATGTTGTGGAAGCCAAATTTTAGATTCCTCGTGTCTAATAACATCTTTTTCAACGTCTGTTTTATCTTTTTTTTTAATGATTTATTACTTCATATAGGTGTTGGTCATGGCGAAGATCTTGGATTTTTCTTCAACAGTCCAAATGAGCCAGGTACAAAGTCAGACGAGCTAGTTCGATCTCGATTAATAACTATGTGGACAAATTTTGCTAAATATGGGTAAGATTATTTGACATATAATTAACATCAGACACATGCCTAACATGCGAGGCAATGAAGCAGTTAGCCCAGAGCTTACCAATTCTTTGCAATTGGATGGATTTCAATATAATGTGTTGCATTCACTTATCACTACTAAGGTTTTTGGGGTCTCTGAATACGAATATCATAAAGATAATAGTCTCTATTTTATTCTGAATTTCCATAAAATTACAGATGAGACCCATCCTTGCCATCAGGTGCTTCGGAGACTATCCCCGTTATGATATTCATATTTAGCCACCCCGAAAACCCCCGAGTGGTAATATTGAACTTATTTTCTTATCATTAATTATAATAATATTAATATTACTAATACGAAGTGATCAATTTGTAATATTAATATTAAAAATTCATAAATTCGACATGCACTTTGGAAAATACATATTTCTACGCAATTTTCATTTCGACATCATCACTTTAATTCACAAAATTTCTTAACGCTCCTATAAAACGAATGTAATGTTTCCTCGGGTCAATTCAACTCCAAAAAAATTATTAGATTATTTCTTCATTGCCCCGTGTTGTTTTTAAATAAGATTAATACATTTTTTTTATTGGTACCCCAGTTTGCTTATTTAAAGTACGCCGTAGCGTATTTAAATTTAACTTTCAAAAATATATATGGGTATACCAAATGAATTATTAAAACATAGTCCACAAGTATTACGGGAATTACTGGCGTATGTCTTCACCTTATTCTATAATGGACACGACTTACCACCGGAGTGGACAAAAGCACATATCAACAACATATATAAAAAAGGAGATAGAAAGAATTGTTCAAACTATAGGGGGCTAAGTGTCATAAATTCAGTCTCAAGACTGTATGGAAAAATAATAAAAAATAAAATTGGAAAAGAGATGACAGATTTAGAAGAACAGAATGGCTTTCGTGCAGGGAGATCCTGCATGGACAGTATATTCTCTCTAAAGCAAGTTATCGAGAAAAGATTAGCCCACAACCTTTCAACTCATATAGTCTTTATAGATCTGACGAAGGCATACGATAGTGTACCACTTTCAATGCTTTGGGTAGCAATGGAAAAACAAGGAATAAGCAAAAAAAATATACAAGCAGTACAACAGCTCTACAAAAATATGACGGCAAACATTAAAACTGGAAATATATTAACTAGAGAAATTCCTATTAGTAAGGGCCTAAAGCATGGCTGCTGCATAGCACCTAAACTCTTCAAAATATATCTAAATGAGGCACTCTCACTGTGGAGAAGAAAGTGCTGCAATATGGGCATCCCAATCGGAGATGATAGATTGTACACGATACATTTCGCTGACGACCAAGCCGTTCTAGCTGAAGACGAGAGTGATATAAGCTACATGCTTAGAAAACTGGAAGATGAGTACTCCAAATGGGGCCTCACAATTAATATACAAAAAACTAAGTACTTAGTTGTAGGAGAAAAACCAGAAAGCCCACAAATCGAAATGGGAACTATAAAACCAACAGAAAATTTTAAGTACTTGGGAGTCCAAATAACATCAAAAGCAGGAAGTAGCGAAGAAATACATTCCAGGATTGGCCAATCAAGATCAGCCACCAGACAGCTACACGGACTATTATGGAATAAAAAAATAACAAAAGAAAATAAAAGAAGAATTTATAAAACAATAATAGAAAGTATTGGACTGTATGGCGCCGAACTCTGGGAAATAAACCAAAGAAACAAATGTCGGTCAGATAGCTCAGCGGGCTGTGCGGCTGCCTCTCATTCGCTTCACTGTCGAATGGTTCAGTGGATGTGGGTCGAGCCCCAGCTCGGTGTACAGAAAACAAAAAGTCTAACGCAGCAGTTTAAAATTCTAGATGAATCTGCGACTTAGACTAGGATATGCTGGGGTCTGATCGGTCTATGGTGGAGCAGTACGGCAAGAGATAAGGGCTTGCGGCCCTTATCTCTTGCCGTACTCGGTAATACTCGGTAATACTCCTCCATAGATCCCTACCGGACGGGCGTAACGCCTAAAAAAACCGGATATATATATATATAATATATATATATATATATATATATATATATATATATATATATATATATATATATATATATCGATGGCTAAAGTGTAAAACCTATTAAGTCGAATTTTATAAATTTTACAGGAGAGACAAAAAACTGATTACTTTTTTTAATAAGGCGTTCCCGTTTTGGTGTTAGCGATATAAAAAATTATAATTACAACCTCTTTTTAATGGTATGCAAGTACATTAAATTGGATTTGATTTTTCAAAAAAAAATCGACTTACGAGGTTTTGTTGTATTTTTTTTAAATCATTTTTCAACTTGCGATGTTTTGACATGAAGAGTATTATCTGGTTAAGGATTTTAATACAATATTTTGTTTAATTAGATGATTAAAAAATATTAATGAAACAATACGAACAAAACTAAAAACTTTATTCGACAGAAATACAAAAAAAAATAAAAAAAAGTTTGAGTTAGTGAGATAAGTTGTCGTAGAATAGCCTAAAATCTTCTGGAATATAGTTTTTTAATTCTTGAAGATGTTTAAATTTATCAGGCTTAATTTTTAGAGGAGCGTTATGCAATTGGGGTATATCCAAATTATCTTGAATTGCTCTTGTACGCCTTGGTAATGGTGTCCAATGGTCCTGGTATAATAATTTATACTCAATCGCACCACATCACAACGGTATGCCAGTGCTCTAAGATCAGTTACTTTAGGATCTCCCTTAGTATTGCCAGGACGAATTGAAGAAAATGTTTTGATTACCGAGTAATCTTTAAAAAAGGAATAATTTAAGTAGTCAACTTCATAAGAATCTTTTGCCTTAGCAGACCTACAAATGTCAACATAGCATCCCGGTACATACACGACACGATTTCTAAGTTTACGCTCAATACACGCGTGAATCGAGTCACACTCCATTTGAGTATGACCCTTTTCTAGATAATATTGAAATATTTCTACACCTGATGTTCTTGATAAGTAAGAAAGAGCATTCGAAAGCGTAACATTTCGAGTTTGGTAGCAGCATCCGTCGCTGAAGCAAACAACGGATTTAGTAGCAGGAGATAAATTTCTTTTGATATAATCTATGATAATGGAAGTGAACTCGTTTGCTTCAACCCCACCTGAACCCTCATGCCATACATAGCAATGGCCTTTGCCAGTGGATAAATTATAGAAGCTATAGTTGTGAACATTTAGCTTCATTTTATAATATGCAGCTGATACTTGTAATCTTGGTGCTGTTAATATTGCCTGTGCATCCATAGTCAAAACAAGTTTACTGTTGTCCTTACTAGCCTCTTCTTTTAGTTTTTCCTTTTCAGCACGAGCTAAATTTTTTTTCTCCAAATGCTGCTGAAACTGTTCATCATTTATTTTGCCGACAGAATACCCAGTGCAAGTGTCGCACTGATCTTTCCTAAAAAATAAAAATTCTTGTAACAAAAAAAAAAAAAAACGTTTTCTATTGTTCTGTATGCTTAACTTACTTTGGCTTAAATAAGGCTATACGTTGCTTATCGAGCTCCTGACGAAAAGTTGTATTATTCAGTTTGGCTATCTTTGCAGCCACACACTCATTGGTATAAAATTTGTATAGTTCATTAACGCTGGTCCACTGTGTATCTAAATACAATTTATTAGTGTCTTTCCTACAGTAGTGGCTCTCCATTTTTGGAATTTTCTCTAAAAACTGGATTAGGAAGGCTTTATCTTCGGATATCTTGCCTTTTCTTGAACTCTTTGTAGTTTGAACTGCAATGTTTTGTTCTCCTTGACTAATCCAATTTTGCACACTCCATTCGCCTATACCTAATGTTTGCAGAAACATTTTCTTGCATACCCGTTTTCGAGAATTGGATTTCTTAAGGAAAAAAATATACGAAGTACTTCGTTGCTTTTCTGGAGTAACTGAAATGCAATGAAGGTTTGTAAAATGTGATTTACGGAAACAAATTTTTATAAATACCTGTTCGATGATACTTCACCGGTTCTTTATCTACAAGGCTGGTAACATAAATTTTCTTCTGATTCCAGTCCAAATTTTTCCAAAACATATTGAAAATATTTTTTCTGTCGTCGTCTTCAAAAATATTGCAAAAAAATTTTAGAGATCTTTGCGAATTCTTACATTGACATGGAGGTCCCATCTTTCGCTCGTCTCGTTCAATTTTTTTATACTTGTTGTCATCTTTATCTAGTTGACAGGATTGGTATGATTCTCCCTTCATTCTTTTCAGTTTATTTTTATTTCGTTCCCAGTTTAAATAATTGACGTCAGATTTCCTTGATCTTTTTCTCATTATGGGCGATGTTACTGTTTCTGTCTCATTTAGTAATTCATTTAGCGACTGGTTATGTGTTTCTTCATCTGATTCATTGGACTCGGTTGATGCCATATATTCCGATCCACTATCTTGGAAAGGTTCGCTATCGGAATTTTCATCTTGAAAATTTGGCATATCAGTGGTTATGTTTACGTTATTTGATACCGCTGATGGTGGTTCCTCGACCACGCTATTAACTTCTTGAGGTTCATCTGAGCTGCTACTCTGTATTGTACTGTAAAAAACATCAAATTCATAACCAATAAATTATTAAAATATGAAATTAAACTAAATTAAGAATACCTATCTTAAAAATTTAACAATTATTTTAAGAACTCAATCATCAGAAGATTGATAGTACATAGTTGAATTCATTAATAATTAATTTACCTATTGATAAGAACCTGAGTTCTTGAAACATTTGTCAAGATTTTAAGATAAGTATACCTAATTTAGTGGAATTTTACATTTCAATAGTCATAACAATCACTATAAAATTCATAACCAATATTTTCATAACTTTATAATTCAATGGCATAACGTTAACTCTTATAATTCACGTTTGCATAAAAGTATTTTATAAACAATCATTATTTGCTTTATTGTAATTTACACCATGCCCTACTTTTTCAGTGAGAAAGA